CTGCTCTCTCGCACTGTTGCTCTCTGTCTTTGTTTCTGATTCCGATTCTGACTGTGATTCAGCCTGTGCTGCTTCTTTAAGGTTATTGCGGTGCAATGTCCTCAATCGTTGGTCTCCTTGGGTCTCGCTCTTGTTGTTGTTGTTCTTCTTCTTCTTCTTGTTGTTCTTGTGGTGCATTTTGGGCGCCCAGATGCTGTCCCTGGCAGGATAATTTGTCTCTTTCTGTACGTTCTTGTTGTTGTTGTTGTTGTTTTCGGTTGCCCTTCGCAGCGCTTGGCTGTTGAGAAATGTGAAAGGCATTTCCTTTTGGCCCATTAGCGAGCTCAATATGTATTCATGTTTATTTAGCATTATGCTGGCCTCATACATTTGTGGGCTTGTTATCGCTTAACATTTGTCATTGGAATTTCTGGGAATTATTCTTGCTGATAACTCGGCTTGTAAATTTGCCATGAGCTTAGCAGCTGATAATAAAATGTATGTTAAAAATAAGACTAGCTTTTAATTGTCCAATCAGTTGTACATTCATTTTGATAGCTGATAAATCAAGAATGTATGAAACAAGTCGTTAGTTATTGGCCTAAATTATTTATTGATGTCGGTAATTGCTTAGTTATCGATTAACTATCGAGTACCTGCTGATGATTAATGCCAATTCCAGTTGTATTTTCACTTAACCTCTCGATAATAGCATTTCCTGTGAACCGTCAAACCAACCAACCAACCAACCAAACAAACCGACCCCAAGCCCGAACTCAAACCCCAAACTCAAACCTAAAGCACAATACAACCAACAACTACTCGAATGCAGGCGACCATGAGGCAACGAGTTGAACGAACTCAGCGGCAACAGCAGCGACTGCAAAAGTGACGTCAATAGGCGCGATGCTTCGTGCTTGTTGGGCGGATGGGGTGATGGGTGGGTGGGGGGATGGAGGAGCTGCGCCTGGCTGCGTACGTGCGCCTGACCTCGTGTTCCTTTTTACTACGACTACGACGTTGTGCCATGCGAGTGGAGGGTTGGGATGTGGGCTGTGGGGTAGACACTCAATGCTTGGCCAGGCGGACAAATATCCTTGCACGGTGTTCGCGCACGGGGCACTGAACTTTGACCTGAATGCCGCGCTGGCAGGCACTGGCAGGCACTGGCAGGCGCTGCTCGACTTGTAATTTAGGCATCATTTATTTATTGTACATATTTTCGTCAACTAATTGCTGGTCAGCTGGGTCAGCCCGGACTCTGCCCTAATGACTTTCCCAGCCCGGCCAGCAGCGAGCCGTGAAATACGAGCCAATAGGCAAAACGCCTCTAACTAATTCTAATTCCAAATAGCCAACCGCCGACATAACTCAAGCCTCGTCGGCCCCGTCATATAAACTCGTGAGGCGAACATGGCCAAAACGTCGACTGAACTGTAAAGCGCCATAAAGATCCGGCATTTCGTGTGTGGCTCCGACAACGGATAGGCACGTGCTAATTGCTTACGCATTCGATAAGCCCAAAGAAAAGTCAAAAACAATAACGAGTCAACAGTTATTGTTGGGAGAAGCTTAGAGAAGCTTAGGCACGATCGAAGTTATGAGTGGGCGCGCGAAGAACAGAAGAATAGAAGAAGAAAGAAGACAGAAGACTGAAGACAGCAGAATAGAAGGTGGAAACAGCTCTCCATCAAAGAGGAAAAGATTAGATTCCAGTTTATGCAAACAGATCTTTGGAATACCCTGATCATATTGATGTCAAGTTCTGACAGTAGCCCGCAAATTGATTTCCACAATCTGCGTCAAGTGGCCCAGCAGCCCAGATCAGATGCGGGTCAAGTGGTCAAGTTGTGCCACAGATCGAACAGCGCTGCCAACAGGTAGGCTATATAAAGCGCCTGCCGAGATCGAGATCGCATTGGTGTTCATTCATGACTTCTTGTCGATTGCTATTTAAAAAAAGCTTCGACTGATCCCCCCTAATGATCGCCGCCCCCAATACACAAGCGGTGCCCACCCCCCTCCAAGCAAACAACAACAAAATCTTTAACAAACAAACAATGAATTATAAGGCTTTCAATAATGCTCATGGTTCGGGCGATGATGATGTCGTGATGAAGGGAGGGGAAACGCTTGGCTGCTTTGCGGCACGTTGCCTAACACACAAGCACACTCGCACACTTACTCACACGCACACACAGGCAGCTAGACGAATGTGTGTAACGTGAAATGCTCTCACTTTCCTTTGAAACTTGTTATTCGCATTGCAGCTGCCAGCAGAGTTCATTCACATTTGGCAGCCAGACCAAGAGAGCAAAAGCAAGAGAGCGTCGCGATGAGAGCTCAACGTGCAGGTGATAGAAGCAAATAGACTGTCAGAGCGAGAGAGCGAGAGAGGGCGAGAGACAGCTCGAAACTGGCACAGCTGTTCCCGAAAGTTCTTCGCACAAAGCAAAGCCCGAATTGGCCGCAGTTCGTTTGCGGGGGCCGTGAGGCATTGAAATGAGTGCAAATTGTCGCTGCTGAGTGCATTGAACTCTCGCTCACCGAATGGGGCTCGAGTTATGTTTTACTCAATTAGTTTGTATTTATTGCTGATAATTATATAATGCTCAAGCTGCAGCTTGAGCATATCGCCGAATGCTGGCCGATGGCTGTTGGCTGATGGCTGATGGCTGATGGCTGATGCAATTTTCCGGGCCTATCCCAAGCCACTCAAGCTACATTTTTAGCGTATTGCATTGCCAAAGATTTCCTTGAACGCATTTTAGCCATATAGTCGCCGTTGCATTTGCCGTTGCCCGCCCCTTTGGGCCAAGCCCACAGCTAACATGCAGTCGTCGTCCGCCTGAGGTTTCTGTGTCGTTGACCGACCGCCAGCTCAAATGAACTCCAAACCAAAAAGCTAAACCAATGGCTTGCAAACTGCAGCAGCAGCAGCTGTAGTTGTAGCTGTAGCAGCTGCAGCAGCGCCGACCGACAACAACAAATTTGCATGCAAATGCACTGAGAGAGCGCTGAGCAATTGAGAGCAATAGTGCACGATGTTCGGTTCGCTCGCTCGCTCGTTCGTTCGTGCGTTCGGTTGTTCGCTTCGTCATGTTCGCTCACTCGTTCGATGTTCGGCGTTCGGCGTTCGGCGCTCGTCGCTGGCGCGCTGAGCAGCTCCACATTTGGAGGTATTTGACCGAAAAGTGGGTCACGACAATGGCTGGGTTCGTTGAACTGAACTGCCAGTCAGCCAGCCAACCTCTGCTGACGTCGTCGTATTATGTTGACGTCGTCGTCGTCGTCGACGTCGTTTGGCACTTTTTGGTTACGTAGCCTTCCAGCATGTGTCGTTGCGCAGCGGGGAAGCTGAGGGGGGCAACGCATTTCTGTGTTGCCTCTTACGTTTTGTGTGGCCTCAAAAAAAAAAAAAAAACAAAGTAAAACAGAAGAAAGAAATAAATAAAAAAGAGCGCGGGACCGAAATACATATTATTTAATATTATTAATAACGAGACGTTAAATTTTTATAGTTCACAAATGATTTGAGCATAGTTTTTGTGTTAAATAATCGGGCAGTCTTCCCGCCTAGCTGCACATTGGGTCATAATTGGGGCAACATTGTTTGGCCAACGATTTGTATCGTCAGTGATTAATAGGTTGAGTTGGGAAATTGTAATCCCCCACACTTGACAGTCTCTGGAAACATGCTCGAATTCGAAATCTACACAGACTGCCCACCCAAAAAATAGCTTACACGCGCGTTGAGAGCTGTTCCACATCTGAGATCCTCTTATGCCTGTCATATTTATTGATAGCCCTTCCCCCGATATAAACGTATATCCCCCCCTGCCGCCCACACTCAATATCAATTAATCTTATTTGTCACTCATGTTTGAAAACAAGCACGCCAGACACACACACACATACTCACAGAAATGTTCTAAGCCCCTTTCCGAACGCATAGCATCAAACAAACTTCATACACCTACACAGTCATACACATGTATGCACATTTGTGTGTGTGCGCACAACATGTATGCTGGCATTGTTGTTGCTGCTGTTATCAAACAAAGCTGATCAGTCAGGTGGCAGTAGCAGAAGCTACCTAAAATCTGCGTCGCGTAGGTGTTCCAAGAATTGTTTACAATACAAAAAAAAACAACGAAAAAAGCGCCCCCAACAAATGCAGCAGCAGCAGCTACGGCAGCGCCAGCGCCAGCGGCGTCTATTGTTAGCTGCCCGCGTCGACGTCGGCGACAGCGTTGGAGTGAATGTCCTCAGTTGGTGCACAAAAAACAAAAACAATATGTAGCGCGAGGTTGGCAGCAGCAGCAGCAGCAAGTAAGTGAGAGAGCGAGAGCGAGGCGCGAGTGAGCAAGAGATAGAGCGAGAGCGAGCCGACGCCAGCCAAAGCTTGAGCCGAACCCGAACCGCATCGAGCAGCCAGCATGAGTTGTTGGAACTGTTGGCGCTGCTTTCATTCGCAAATTGCTCGTCGTTGGCAGCGGTTGTGCAGAGCATGAAAAGCGCGCGAAACAGAATAAACTGAAACTGAAACTAAAACCAATTTAGAAAAAAAAAAACGGCAAACAAGAGCAACTAGAACAACGTTACAACTAAAAAGCTAGCAACAAATAATTTAAATAATCATATATCAATCATATTGTTATTTTTATTGGTGCCAGTGCAGTGAGAGAGAAAAGAAAGAGTGCACGACAGCGAGAGAGAGAGAGAGAAAGAGAGAGATCATTAAGACTTCCATATCCGTTTCTTGTGCCCGGAAAGCGCAGCAAAATTTTTGGCGCTCAAATTGTTGGTGAAGTGCAATTGATAAATTGAGTTTCAAGTTGAAAGCAAACGCAAACGCAAAAGCAAAAGCAAACGCAATGTTCCTTAATAGCAAATTGTAGAGCAAAATCAACAGAGATCTAGATCGGCGAAGAGCGAAAGAGAGAGAGAGAGAGCGAGAGCAAGAGAGAAGTTCAAGTGTCATTGTGGTACCAAAAAGAAAAGTTTAATTTTTAGCAAAAATGGTTTGTGCAATGGAACAGCAGCAGCAGCAACAGCAGCAGCAGCAGCAACAGCAGCTACAGCAACAGTTGCCACAACAGCAACAGCAGCACAGCACAACAATTGTGCTGCTGACAGCCGGCAACAGCAATGTGCACATTGTCAGTGCACCGCAGCAACATCAGCAGCAGCAGCACCAGCAGCAACAGCAAATCAAAAGCCAACAGCTGAAGCAGCAGCACTCGGCATTGGTCAAGCTGCTGGAGTCAGCGCCGCTCAGCAAACAACAACAGCAGCAGCAGCAGCAGCAGCAACACCAGCCCAGACAAATAGTTTACCTGCAACAGCAACAGCAACGCAAAAGACTGAAAAACGAAGAGCAACAACTGCAACAACAGCAACAACAAACACCTGCAACATTAGTAAAGACAACCACCAACCAGACAACAACAAGAAACACAACAAATAGTATTAGTCAGCAGCAGCAGCAGATTGTATTGTTGCTGCAACAGCCAACAGCAACAGTCGCAGCAACAGCAGCGGCAACAGCACCAGCAACTGTGACAGCAGCAACACCAAAGCCATGCGCCGATCTCAGCGCCAAAAATGACAGCGAATCGGGCATTGATGAGGACTGTGCGAACAGCGACGACGATATGCCACCCAAGGCCAATGTTGGCGGCGGACCAGCAACAGTTGCTGCCGTCGACTATGAGCAATATCAGTGCCCCTGGAAGAAAATACGCTATGCGCGCGAGCTCAAGCAGCGTGAGCTGGAGCAGACGACATTGGCGCGGCAGCAACACGAAGACAAAACAATCACAGCGGCAGCAGCAGCAGCAGCAACAACAGCGGCAACTGCAACAGCAGCAGCAACTGCAACAAGACCCACCAGCAACAAGCTCAATCTACTGCATTGTGATAGTCCTTTTTCCGCGCAAACACACAAAGAAATTGCCAATTTGTTGATGCAACAAACTCAGCAGCAACAGCAACAGCAGCCCCAGCAACAACACCAGCAGCAACACCAGCAACAACAACAGCAGCAGCAACAGCGACGCGATAGCTCGGACAGCAACTGCTCGCTGCTGAGCAACTCGAGCACCCAGTCACTGACAAATGGCATTGGCAATTGTTGCACGTGCAACAGCAACAGCAGCAGCAGCAGCGACGACGATCAGCAACACAAACAGCTCGAGGACATGGATGCCCAGGACTCGGGCTGCGATGATGAGCTATGCGAGCAGCATCACCAGCGCCTCGAAGCCTCACAGCTCAATTATTTGTGTCAAAAGTTTGACGAGAAGCTGGACACGGCATTAAGCAACAGCAACAACAACAACAACAGCAACAGCAACAGCAACAACAGCAACAACAACACAGGTGCAACAAAATCGACAGCAGCAATCGAGGATGCCAGCGCTGATGTAGGTGGCAAATGAGTCTAATTACAATTGAATTCTCACTATGCAAATGCATTTGAAACATATTTTGACAAAAAGAAAGAAAATAGATTTGATTTTTATATATGTATATCATATATGTATATGTTGCTCACATTTCAAAGCTTTGTCCCCAAGAGTACATACAATTTTAGTTATTATTCGTTGATAATTAATATTAATGCTAAATTATTAAATTGCAAATATTTGACTTATTTCGTTGCAGGGTTTCTTCCGACGCTCCATACAGCAAAAGATCCAATATCGCCCATGCACCAAGAATCAACAGTGCAGCATTTTGCGTATCAATCGCAATCGCTGTCAATATTGTCGCCTGAAAAAGTGCATTGCCGTTGGCATGAGTCGTGATGGTGAGTAGCCCATTTTGATAATGCTTAACTCTTCTAATCGTATCCTCGCGCGCTCTTATACACGCATATTTGTGCGCCAGCGAGTCAAGCTCAAGCACAATAAATAAGCAAAAGAAAAAACAAAAAAAAAAAAACAAAACCAACAGCTATTAGGCTAAAAACCGAAGCATAACGAAACCTAACGAACGACACACAACGAAAGACGAGCGCGACAGCCGATAGTCGTTGAGTTCATTGACCAGCCATGAACGAAATTTTAGTTGGCTGGGTGTGCTTGCATATGTGTGTGTGTGTGTGTGTGTGTGTGTGTGTGTGTGTGTGTGTGTTGCAACATTTGTGTAGCGCGCGCGATTTCACGGCAAAGTAAAAGTTGTTAGCAGCCTGCCCTGAAAATGCACACGCACAAACACATACAAGCGCAAACTATATGTAAATTTTGTTTAAACAAATTTCCAACACCCGCATGATAAATGGGAGCAGCAGCAGCAGCAACAACAAGAACAACAACAGCAACTGTGCGCCATTTCGAAATTGTGTTAAAAGTTGAATGAACGCACTTAACCTAAATTCATAAAGGCAGCGAGGCCATGCCTACAACACAGGCCTCTCTCCCGCTCTCCTGCTATTGTGCTCTCACACACTGTCACAATTACTCATTATTGTGTTACGCCTGAAGCATTTGCTTTTATTAAATTTTGTAATAATTTGTTTAAATTAGGCGCAAGCCCGGAAAATTGTACAGGAAATGCCGCGACGTCCATATCGATTATGAAAGCAGGCAATATAAATGCATATAAAAATACAACAACAAAATATAAAGAGAAATAACTCACACAAACGCACACACACACACGTACACGTTCATTGACTTTTGCCAGTCCGCCGTTGAGCTCTTCTTCTTTCTACATATAATGGCGGCCATGTTGCTGTCGAAAACGAAAGTGGTTCATGCTGCCTGCATGTGTGTGAGAAAGAGAGAGAGAGCTGCTCAGTCGTCGCTGTAGCTGTTTTGTAGGCAGCACGCAGACGCAGCCTGTGCCTAATAATATTGTAGTAGCTGCTGTTGTTGTTGCTGCTGTTGTTATGCTACTTGTACAAGTTATGTTGTAATTGATGAATTGGATTTTGTTTTTTTTTCTTTCTTTTTGTTGTTTTCTTTTGTGATGGGGCGCGTGCTGGACAATAGGGAGAAACGAAAATGCAGGGTTGGGGCTAAGCACGCGTAAATAATGTTAATAAGAATATGTATATACATATATATTTTTTTAATATTTTTGTACTGCTCTTGAATACCTTTTCCACTGTAGTATAAATATATATTTAAAAAAAAACACTACTGACAGCTAACACAGACTAATAAACTATTGATTATACTACTATTTAGAAATTGGCAAATCCTTGAACTAGTTCTACACGGCACTAATGCCAAAAATCTCAATAAAAAACTAAAACTAAAAAAAAAAAAGATACGGTGCGACTGCCATGAAAATAAACATCAGCGAACTCAAACTCGGCAACAGCTACGAACAAATTTCGAATTGTTTATAATAAAAATGACCGTGTGCTATTTAAGCGCAGTCGCCGCTGGCGTCGACAGCGCTGCCCTCGCTTGCCTTATCTTTCAAGGAAAATTAAATTTATACACACACACACATGCATGCATGCATATGTGGGCTGTTGTCGAAATATTTACAGTTACTTTTGAAAACAAGCACTGACCTAGAAATTGTGGAAGCCGAAAATTGATAATTTTAGTGTTTTATTTAACGCATCTGCATTATGCACAGCGCATAATATGCAAGACTTTCACTTATCCATTTGGCCATTTCGAAACACTTTCTTTTTACGGCTTTCATAATTTCTTTTCGTGTGTAGTAATATTATTAGGCGCCATTTTGTTTGGCTTTGCCTATTGCAAAGATACGAAAATAAACGCAAGACGCGCCGTCAAAATGAAAACGAAACCGAAATTTAGCGCATACACGCACACACTCACACACACACTAACAGACACTCACCCATGGATAGAGGCCCCCCAAAAAAATAAAAGCAACAGCAACAAACACGAACCAGGCGACAGCCGCTGCCCGCGCACTCCCTTTCTCTCGCGCGCTCTCTCTCTCTCTCTCTCTCTCCCCCACAAAGCATTCAGCCTCGACAGCAGCGCTCAGTTCATTGACCGACGAAACTGGGTCACCCAAAGCAGCGACGCAGCAGCTGAGCAGCAACAGTGAAGGTGCTTGAGAGTGTGCGCGCGTGTGTGTGTGTGTGTGTGTGTGTGTGTGTGTAAGTGCGCTTGATAGTAAACAAGCTTTTTTTTTACTCATTTTATTCGTTCATTTTGCATTTGGTTTATTTTTATTATTTTGAATTGTTTGAATTTGTAGTTGTCGCGGAACAGGCATAGAAATATTTGCAGTTATTTATTTTATTTTCTTAAAGATTTTTATTAGTTTTCATATGCAGCACACAAGTAGCATGTGGCTTTTAATTAAAATGAACTTAAATTAGCGCGAGGCTAAGTAAATTGAAAGTAAATATGCACTCAAATCAAACAGGCTCAGTGTGAGATCTTAAGCAGGGTATTGCAAGACAGAGAGAGCGGGAGAGAGAGAGAGAGAGGGAGAGAGAGAGAGAGGGAGAGCGCGCGTGCAATATGCCAGCTGTTTTACAGTTTTGATTTTGGCAAAAGCTTTGCAATTTCAAGAAGTATTCGACTCGAATTGGCCAAAGCTGAGCAAACAATTAAAAACACACAAAAATTAAATTCAAATGAATATTCGTGTATCTCAACAACAACAACAACAAATGGCTAACAATTATCTTTGTTGTTAAGGCAAAGCACATAAAAAAATAATCAGACAATTGTCAATTATCGAAAGCACATATATTTTTTGTATTATTATTTTTATTATAGTTACGTATAAGTGTATGCATGTGTGTGTGTGAGTGTGTGTATGTGTGCACATGAACAACAGCTACAAGCAATAGGCAACTCAGTGACGTTTTTGTTGTTGTCGCAATCATTATTATTTTGAGGCTACACACATACACACACATACACACACACACACACACACACACACACACAGACAGACAGACAGAGACATGCACACACATGTAGATTTCGCCTTGCCGTCATCGTTGCTGCCGCTGCGAGTGTTTTGAACTTTATTCAGGTCAATTACAAATACATTAAAATGCCAGTGCTACACACACACTCACACACACACACACATACGTGCAAGGCGAGGTGTTGACTAAAATAATATTGGAGGCTACCAAACAAAATGTACAATATGACAATAAAAGTGTTTCGCCCCCGGGGGTTGCATTGGATTTGAAGTCTGGCTGGGTTTCTGTGCGGGTGACCGGACCCCTGGGAGCCCAGGCTGAGCTCAAATGCTGGGGTCAAAGCTTCAAGTACAACTAGCCAATCATTAGCTTAATGATAATGAAGCCAATGATAATGAAGCTGATGATAATGATGATAGTGGCGAGTGCAATAAATGAATGTGGGCGAGGTTCGCTCTCAATGCAATTCGATTCGTTGTGCCGTTGTGGGTTTCTAAGGTGCGAGCTCTAGCTGGAAGGTTAACCAAACGTTGCGCTATTGAAACGCATATGCGCATGCATAAGAGTTGTCGCACACAATTTTTTGGTTTACTTATTATACAATTTACTTTTGTTTCTTGTCATCAGTGAAATCATTTTACGCGTGACACGCATCATCAACAATTAAATGAACGGCGACAAGTTTGCTTGCTCTTTCTCTCTCTTTCTGTCCCACTGTCCGACTATCCGACTGTCTGTCTGTCTGTCTCTGTCCCTGGCTGTGTTACATAAAGTCGTGCGTCGTGTGCGCTTCACCTGCCTTTGGTTTAACGGTGAAATTGCAAAGGAAAGAGCGCAAAACAAGGCAGTCAAAATCAGCGACTGCACAAAACGTAACAAACTTGTTTTACACCGCGACGCTGGCGTCGCGGTCGACTTCGACGTTGCCTACTACGCAAGATGAACCTTCAAAAGGTTCATTTACCTCGGCGAACGAACGTCCAGCGAGCGCCAAACGAAAGAGCAGCCACCGCCAGTCCCACGAGCACGAACGAGACGAGCGCCACACACACACACACACACGCACACACACACAATCACACGAGCGACGGGCGGCAGAAAAATGTACTTTCGCTTTTTCAATGCCTCGGCGTCAAACTAGTTTCAAGCTCCAAGTGGAGCCGAGCCACAGCCAACATTGCTGCAATGCCTGTGATGTCGACGACAGCGACGCCGGCGTTGCTGCCGTTTTGGGGCACAGTTAAACGACCGACACATGGCGAGTTCAACGACTCTTGTAAAATTTCTCGAAGGTTTCGCATTGCAACATTAGCGACAGCGTCGCAACTTGTTCGACTGCAGCAGCAACAGCAGCAGCAGCTGAGCAGCACTGCATTTGCATAGGCTCTCCCACTCTCTGGCTCTCTTGCGTGCACACACACACACACACGTTGTGTGCTCTCTTGTGTGTGTGCTGAATGCTGTTCATTGCACTCGGCCTCATTTTGACTGCGCGCTGCGCTTTTTCTTGCTGCAATTTTGTTTTTGCACGATGACGACGTCGACGTCAACGAGCTAGCGAGTGAGCGAGAGAGCGAGCAGGCATTTGTCGCCTTTGTTGGCGAGTGCAGCGACTTTTATTTGGGTCAGGCACGGTCATTCGCCTCAGTCGCAGCGCAGCGTTCGAGTTCGCGAGCTGCAATTGCAATTGGCGGTTGCCTTGGCGCGCATTTATTTGAAAATAATTATGAGCAGCAAAATCAAAAAAACAAAAAAAAATGAGAAAAACAAAATGCGAGGTCCGCTCGCCGCTGACATTCCCTTGGTGCATTTGTTGTATGCGTTCATATACTATAACATATTTATTTTTGTTGTACCATTTTTTACAAGTATTTAAATATTTACTTGTAGCCTCACCTTAATCCAGTCAAGACTGCGTATAAATT